TGGCAGTAAAGTGAGGCTGGCAAGTCCCTTGAGGTGAAACGGCCAGTGAGCTATGAGATGAGATCCTAAATCTTTGGTTTGTGTGCTTCCCTGTTGTACCTGTCAAGTTCTCCGAATCAAAATGGCGCTATCAAATGCTCTGCTATACTAACAAGAAAGAGTACAGTGTGTTGTTTTCTGCATCCATCTTGCCTCTGTATTAAATAGCTGCTTTCTACACACTGTTTTTAGTGCAGAGAACAAAACTGTTGCCAAGAGGATACTGAGCTCGCATGCCTCCAGCACTGTTAGCTCCAATGTCACTCAATCTCTTTGGATTTATTTTAATCCACGAACCATTTCAAAATATTTTGTTGCTCTGGTGATACATGCCACATTCTCTCCATCCTGCATCCCCCATACAGCACTCCAGAGTCTGTGTGCTCCCAATTCCCTCAACAACTTTGAATAGACTTAAAGGTCTATTCCCTCTGCTTTAACTAGTCAGTTCTATAACATCTGCAGCACTTGAGAACGAACGGACTCTAAATGGCGCTGCCAGTTCTGAGGAACACAGCCAAGGAATTTGAGGATTTACACGTATGCATACCACAGGATCCCTTTCACCCCATCTGCTTTAATGGACCCTGATTTAGCTTCTAGTGGCTGCCACATAGCTATGATCTGCATTTCAAGTTCTGAAGGCTTAATTTTTAGTTTTCCTCTCCCATATCATAAATATAAATACTGTTCTGTATATATGGAATTTTGTACTTTTTTGCTTCCCATAGTCAGACCTGCTTTGGTTGCTGAAGCAGACTTGTGTTGCCATAGGGAGAAGGTGGTGAGGGTTTGTAAATTCTTAGTCTTTACTGAATAGTCTTCCAGAGAGTTCTCTCTCTCTCTCTCTCTCGCTCTCTCTCTCTCTCTCGCTCTCTCTCTCTCTTGCTCTCGCTCTCACTCTCTCTCCACACACACATACACACACACACACACACAAATGAGAAAGAGATGAGAGAGAGAGAGAGAGAGAGAGAGAGAGAGAGAGAATGAGAAGCTTTTTCCAAAAATTAATGGACTCCATCCATTTGTTTCCATGGCTAAGTGAGATGGCAGGTTTTGTATCACCTTAAGTTTTTCTTTCCTGTATTTCCATATTATGAATTTACATGTTAGATTACAGGTGTTTGTGGACCACAAAGATTCTATTTTGTTTTCTTTTGATTTATATAAAGTTGTTTCACCTCCATAATTTAAATGGGAACATAAGCCCACAAGCATAAACATAGGGCTGTTATTAGGAGCATGCCAGCTAATTCTGGTTGATATGCACCACAACTAACATTTTCTTTTTTTTTTTTCACAACTAACATTTTCTAAAAAAGAATGACTTAAGAACTTAAGAGCTACTAACAAGGCTTGCAATTTTTTTCTCATTTGTTTTTAAATAACAGTCCATTCTTATTTAAGGATTATCTGATACAAGATATAGCTAATTCTCCTGGGATACCTTGGAAGAGGCATAAATAATTACTGGGATTTCAAACCTCCATCTGATTAAGGAAGCATATATTCTACTGATGGTCTAGGATGTGTTCTAGCATCCTTATGAGCAGTGGCTCCTAATGGAGTCTGGTTTCAAAAATTAGTATGTGTTTAAAATCTGCTTCTTCTGTATCCATTTTTACAACCTTTTTTCAAAAAATCAGTGTGGACTACGGACTTATGAAAATTTTATAATGAACCCATTATTTTATATAGCTAACATACACTAGTTAAAAATAGTGACACTAAGTTTCATTGAAGATTAAAATTATTAAGATCATTATTATTAGATTATTATTAAGATTATTATAATAACTCAAGATTTATCAAGGGAAGAGAAACATGGTACAATTCTTGCTCAAAGTTTCTAGCAGAGTGATGGTAATGTGTTCAGCTATTTCTTAGGTGCAGAGCTCATTAAGCCTCTCTAAATGTCATAGATGTATGTCGTTCTATATTTGCCTCAGTGCTGCTAAGCCATTATGAGTAATCAGTGCCTGAGTAGACAGTTAAAATAGAAGTGAACATAGACCCAAAACAGTGGTGGTAAAGGGGTGATTTCTTCTCAAGAATTTTAATGTGGGAAAGGAATTACGTGGTCATAAAAAAAGATCATTATCTACTCAAATCGTTCTGTGGTCTTTAAAATATCCTTTCAAATTTAATCCAGGCCTAAGGAATTTGGCCAGCACAAAGACAAAAACAACTTTTAGCATGTTGGTACCACTGCTTACCATTAGGTGGTAGTAGAGTGCAAATACCGTAGCCATCTTAAGCATGAGACCTCTGAGTTTCAACACGGGGCGGGGCGGGGCAAAAGATAGTCTCCAGTGGCCCGTCACTTGAATGCCCGCACAGAACACAAATATCTGTCTCAAGGACAAAGATGCTGATTTTTAACCAAGTTAGTCCATTCCTTGTCATAATACTCATTTAGTATAGTGCTAGTCAAAATTGTCCTTCCCTTTTATTTCCTTGTCACAATAAATTACCCAATATCTTTGGGCTTGGGGCTTACTAATCTGCAAAAGGAAACTGAATTACCACTGAGGTTTTCACATGTCTAAGACACATAATAATTAACCCATTTTCTGGCAACTGAATTTGCAAGGTTAAAGGGAGTCACCTTTACAGAGAGCATGAGGGGAAAGGTGTCTTCCTTTACGGACTCCATGAGCAGTGAGGGTTCCATGAAGGGGCAGGGCTCCGTGAGGGAGCAGGGTTCATCTTCATCTTGTCCAACTTGACTTTACAATGAGGACTCTGAATTGCATTTCCAAGGTCAGAGAGTAGACAGTGTCCTAAAGAGAAAGAAATGCGCCCTCATAAATAACTATTCACACTGCTATTCCTCTATTGGCCAAGTACTTGTAAAACAAATTAATTCAAATACTGGAATTATTCAACGTTCCTCAAAAATAGTCTGCTTGCTATCAGTTAGCCTGAGTGTGATCCCTATTAAAGACAGGATTTGAAACGTTTTCAAATTCACTGTTTTACAAGAAACACAATTCCTCTGCTAATAAAAGTTGAGTTTGTATTCTGGCCTGAGTTGTGAATACTATAAAAAACTGATGATTCAAGACAGGAAAGGAGGGGCCAGATCTGAAGGATACAAAGCAAAACACATTGGGAAAGATGATTAAAAGCCAGGAAATTACTAGTTTACATACCTAGGAATTAAGTGAGCCCCACAGTTGGAGCTTTAGCCCGACTTTCCTAATTATCAAAGGGACAATTCATTTAAGTAATTTTGGGGGCTGCTTGAATTGTAGGCACTGAACATGAGGAATTATAGTGATAACCAAACATTGATACATAGCTCTCAAAAGTAGATTGCTTTACATTAGTTAACAAGTTGATTTTTAAGGTAATACTCAAGTTTTAACTTAAGAGAAGAAAGAATTAGAAAAAAGCTGGAAGAAATATGTCCATAATGGGTGACACACTTCTTCATACATTTAAATTGATTTAATATCTTGAATTAAATAACCTCAAAAATGTTTGAAAGATGATTTAGTCTTCATGATTCATAAAAACAATGTAATTTATTCTTTGAATATGTCATATTTTAATCATATTTAATAATTTTAGATATTGTTAATAATTGTATACTAGTTTATAGGAGTAAGTCATCCATATGGCCAGTAATTCTTATCCATTCTTTAGTTTTAAAATTTTTGTATTCCATGCATAGAAATTGAGAAAAATTTCTAGGAATATTAAGTGCTTCCAATTACTAGATTTAAAGCTTGAAGTTCTAGTAATAAAACTATGTAGTCTCTGCTAAATAATGTTAATTGGAAGAGAACAGATAAAAGAACTTAGGAACAGGTCTAATCATAGACTCTCATTGAAGAAAATCCCAGGGTTCCCTATCCAATCTTGGACCAGAAAGGTTTCTCTGGACAATTTCAGGGAAATCTTACGAATAGTAACTAATCATTTTATGAATGCAAGCCCTGGGACTGTTGTCTAAAGATATGGATCTAATAACTAATTCAGTCATCTTCAGAGTCTAGATTCTGATCCTGTTACTTCATTAGGTAATTGTCACTTAGTAGACAATTATTTTGAAATACGTTGGGAATGGTTCAAATGTATTTCTTTCTCTAGAAGATAACACATAGATCATCAATATAACCTACACTGGGTTCACATGATCAACAAATACGTTAACTTTCATTCACTGAAGTGTTTATGTGCTATACGGGATGCTAAGGCTTGTCATCTCCAATATTATAAGTATCTATTACAGATACTGGTCTTGATGCTTAGTTTAAAAAGAAAGGAAAATCTTTTGAGAGTTCAGTGCACTGGGGATTTCTACCAATATTTCTCTTCTAAGGTAAAACATTATATGTTACCTGGATATTGTCTGTTGCATTCGACTTGAAGTTCTCTGTCTTCCCTTATTAAAACTGCATGTGCTTCCTCCACATTGAGGACAGAGAATATCAGTTCAAACGTAGCATGGGACGCCTGGCTATTGATATTTTCATCTGTACTGTATGTGGAAATGTCGTCTGTAAGGAAAAGTTCAGAGTGAATGTGGTTATTGCAGTGAAACTAAATGTGGCTTCCCTTCTGCTTGTTTGAGAACCCTCTGGAGAGTAAGTCTGGATGAAGGTGTCCATCCTTCCTGTTCCTGTGGTTTGGTGTTCTTGCTCTTGCCATATTCCTGACCTTGGAAAAATCAATGGGACTAAACCTCGACCTTTCCTTAAAGCTTGAGGAGACTAGATTGTGGACATGTTCAAAAGTTTGAATTTTGTGCATTCTAGTTTAATTTAAAGCACTCTTCAAAATATTAATTCTGCAGAAACCTTTTATTTGGTGCATTTTATTTTTCTCCCTCTTGGTTTTTTACAACAGGAAATAGTAAATGTCAAGAAAAGTACCATGCCATTACCCAAATTATCTTTTAATTAGTACCAGTTTAAACATTGATGACATTGAAAATCATTTCATTTCAGCCACAGCGTCCTGTGTTCACTCATGAAAACATTCAAGGTGGGGGGGAACCGTAAGTATTCCTCTTGATTTCTAAATTCAAGACTAACCTTGACCCCCATAATGGACAATAAATGTACCAAACAGGGGGCAGTACAACTTTGTAAGTGAAAGGAATCAGACAACCAACGTGAGGCCTCCTAACTTGAAGAAAATTGCAATGTTCTCCTGTATCACTGAGATCAAAGCTAATGGTTTAAGGGGAAACAGAAAAGGTTTTAATTTATGCTTCAGGAAAAACTTCCAATGTTTCAGTGATTCCTACAATTTATAAATTTGTCTATTTCTCTGTTAGCTATGTAATTCATAACTGCAGTTTTAAAGACAGGAAAACCTATCCTGACTTTATTTTGAATATTTTGAAAGTAGTTCTAAATCTACTTTAGTAATATAACTCCAAAGTTATAATACATGCTTTGAAGGGTCTTTTGGAAACAGTGGTATTAAAAGTACTCAGTGATGTTCATTTTTATATGTAACTTCCACAGCACCAGGAATATACCTCGTAAAATGTTCCCTCCAAATTCCCTTTCCTGTCTGATACATAAATTAAATCGACCTGCAGGTTTCACATGTTGTCTTTAAAATTATCATTTGCATTTCTCAGGCCCAATTGGTAACAAGTGATGCTCAGAAGTCATCCATTCCCTACCGACTCCTGCCTACCCTGTCAAAAAGAAGGCCCCAGAAAGGCTCAACTGTAGTTCTAAGCTTTGCCCCACACTCCTGAGCACACAGAACAGCCTGCAGAATTCTACCCAACCTCAACACACTTGGTGAAAAGAGGCTGACAAAGACCCTCCACTGTGGGCAGCCCCTGCTGTGTCACCTGTGTTATCAGCACTAAGGGTCCCTCCTCTCCCCTTGTGGTTAAAAGCACGCTCTCCAGAACCCATCACTCTCTGAAGCTGCCTCTCATACTGTAGGGCCAGAAAGGCGTTCTTATGCAGGAGAAGTCCTTTTTCATAAATAGACGAGGTTAGAAGTAATAATCATTGAAAATCTCACTTAATTGGAAAACTTTAAATATGATTTGTACTTCTAGTGTTCTGTTTGGTCTCTTATGTCTGCAAACAATGATGGGATTACATCACAAAAATAAATTCCAGAGCTGTTTAGGTTCACAGCATAACTAGCATGTTCTGTTAAACAGCTCTTAAGTATGAACAAGTGTGTTCTGTTGTAGTTTCTTATGTAATGTGCAGCTGTGCTTGTTTAGCTGTTGTGAAATCACCGAGCCCACAGGTGGGAAAAAGCACACTTTTCAAGTCTAGCTTTAGACATTATAAAACATTCTTCACTGAATTTATGTTTTATTACAACCTTAATTAGGGGGATTATGAGGTGTTGCCTAATCTCATTCATTTAAAAAAAAAAAGGTTTGAAAGCAAAGGTAGGAACCTAAATTTTGGTTCTACAATTCAGTTTAAGAACAATAGAAGATGCAAGTTATAGCTTTCCATTCAGCTCAGCATTTCTTATTTCAATGACAAACCTCTGTTTGAGGCATCTTCACCAGACCACCATCATTCATCTCACCAACACATCTCTCAAAATAGCATGTTTTATTATAATTGAACTGCATTTCCTATCGTGCAATACTGCTTTTTGAGAGGCAGAAGTAGGAGGATTTCCAGGAAGGTTTGTTTATGTTGCCATAAAACTTTTTTAGTGGTCAATTAACCCAGAATGGTAAATAAATTCTGACAAGCATGCTTGGCTTTCGTCATATAAAAATGTAGTGAGAGGCCATGCCAATTTTGGTTTGTTTACTCCGGGGACCTCCAGATTCTTCAAGCAGCTGAAGACTGTGGCCTTAAATAGGCCTGTCTCTGAAAGTGGTTGGAGGTGTTCCTGAGAAGGCTGAAGACTGAGAAGAAGCTTTCCCAAAGTAAAACTCAGAGGTACCCACCAAACTAGCAGCCCAGGAATGACCATGTCCCTCAAGCCACATTGAAATCAACTTTCCCTTGAATAGACAAAATGCATCATTCCATCATCTGACCAGCCTCAAATGCTAACCAACATACAAACAGTAAAATGATTTCACTATTCTACTAAGGCTGTCCTCAGGCAAATGTCCCAGTGAGGTAATGTTCATATTCACCATCTCCCACTCTCGTTTGCCAAGATTCTGGCTCTCTTCTCTACCCTTGACCAAAATCTGAATCCTCTCCCCCAAAATGCCTCAGAAGATTATAAATGGCTAGCATAGTCCACTAGAAAAGCAAAGTATTAACAGAGAAAGAAATCTCTCATGTTGGGTACCAGCCTAGGGAAGGTGAAGTTTTTTAGAGAAGGGCAATGTATCTTCTAAGCTCTTTCCTAGAGCTCCCTGAAGCCAACTTTGTCTACACACCGTGATCTGAAGAAGCTAGAGAACAGAGAGGGAGCCAGTGAGCCTGTGTTTCATGTCACGTATACAATGTCATATTGGAATTCAAGTGCTAGAATAGTTTTAATTGACAAAAACATACTTTTTCTGACTCAATAAGTTAGAAATAAATCATTCTTGTTTTAAAGCAGAATTCAATATTTCCCACTTTTTAATGGTGACCTATATATCCAAAGTGTCCTAGAATGTTGTAATTGTTTCCTTACATTAGCACAATTAATATGTTACAAAAAGCAACAGAAGCAAATTTGGTAATTTTAAAAAAACATCCTTCTATTATGGGGCTGGAGAGATGGCCTAGCAGTTAAGAGCACTGACTGCTCTTACAGAGAGGATCTGGGTTTGATTCCAAGCACCCGCATGGCAGCTAACACCCTCTGTAACTCTAGTTCCAGGAGGAAGCCTTCTTCTGACCTCCACAGGCATTGCATGACACTGGTACACTTACACACACGCAGGCAATACACACTCATATACATAAAATAAAAATAATAAATAAAATATTTTTAAAATATCCTATTATACCATTAATATTCAGTGTTATTATGAATTTTCCATGTTAACTGCATATTAAATTCCTGACCTTCTTAGCTTCTATAATGTTTATATTTACTTTTCAAAGTGCCAGTCCATGTTAATAATCACAAAATTCAATGTCAAGCAGACTGAATATTCAAATGCATTACTGATCAATGTCACCATACTTCTCCCAAAGAGTTCAGACAAGGAAAGAAAATGGCAACATTCTCTTAATAATTCTTGCTCATATAAAATTATTTTAAAGGAGCATTTTTAACTCAAGCACAATTTTTCCAGGACACATTTTCCAAAGAATGCTCATAATCTGCTATTTGAGACTGGGTCTGGGATGACCATGCATAGACCACATCCATTCACCATCATAGGTGAATTGCATCAAATCTTCACATTTTAAATCCTCAGAAAATATTGGTTCAAAGTAAAAAACTGTCTGCCTTAAGGAATCTCCTTTGATAAACATATAATTTTCCTTCTTATAATAATTCCCCCATAATTATTTAGAAGATGTGTGTCTGAGACATTTTGTACAACTCAATTTAGAATCATTTGAAATTACCATTTACAAAGCTTCAGTTATTTGCTTTTGATTATAGCTAGCTAAAACTACTATTCCCTCCTGTTTTTAATATGTTTGTATCATATAAATGCCATTTATTTTATGTTCTATAATATTATATAGTGTCTGAATGATATGTGTTAGCTGTCTGGACAATTTAAATGCAGGGCTGACCTATAAACATTAAAATGTTTTGGTCCAGTTCATGAATATTATAATCTTACATGAATATTATTCATTGTAAGTTTTTGAAATGTTATTAGAGTAATCTAATTCCCATGAGAATCTAAATATTTCCATTTATTTTACATGATGCCAAAGACTTAACATTATTTAATACAACATATTAATAAGAATAGAAATGTTAGTGATAAAAATGAGTATCGTACTATTCTGTAATTTCACAAAGATGTAAAATAAATTAAACATCCCCATCTGTCCTATTTAAGGTTTCAGGCTCTGTATAACTATACTCCTAGGAATGAAGATGAGCTGGAACTCAAAGAAAGTGATGTCGTTGATGTGATGGAGAAGTGTGATGATGGATGGTTTGTGGGTATGTGCACATTTCTTCTCAGACACATTAGCTGTCTTATCATTGCTTGAATTTGTTCGCTTGCATGGTTCACTTGATAACTGAACTCTTACTGTGTTCATGATGTACTGTGTAATCCCAGAGCCAGTGTATTAATATAGTTTAGTAATTGTTGCTTCAGGTACATATGATTCTCTCCTAGTTTTATTTCAATTCAACTAAGAAACATTCTTTAAATAGCACCAACCAGGAAAGACTGTGATGTTACGATAGCAGTAATAAAACAACAGATGTTCCCAGATGAGAAGTATTTTTGCTCTGTTCAGTAGAAAAAGGTTAGTTGTCAAAAGGGAAAATGTCATTTGACAGGGAGCAAGATTAAGGGAAAGCTGACCCATTTCCAGCACTGATGTAGCTACCCTAAAAGTCCAATGATTATCTTCGATTTCAGTTAGTAGAAGTGGCCAGAATGGCCTTTCTGACCACCTGAAAGGCAGTCTTAAAAGAGGTCTTTTTGATCAAAACACCTTATATGCATGTATGAAATTCTCAATAAATTATTTTTAAAAAGGGGTCTATATGTATACATAGTTCAGCAGTAGCGCACGTGCTTAACATGTCATCCCATCCTCCATTGTTCAATCCTCAGTATAGAAAGAGAGAAGAAAGGAAAAAGGGGGCAAGAAGGACAGGGGGACAATGAGAAGGAGGAAGAGGCAATAACTCAAAGTTTCTGGAAAACATTTGCAGGTAAAAGGACATGAAGGAAGGAGGTGAAGATGAGAGATGCAGGAATGAAAGCTTTCTAGATACAGGTCCAGCCATGGGGAAATAATCAAGGAACCGAGGCCACATGTGCAGCCATATGCCTTAGATTCCGTTTATATTCATTCCCATCCAGAGGAAACAGGAAAACAGCTTACATACATGGTTCGCAGGGACAGTAACCAAACCAAGTCAATAAATTCTAAACTGTTAATGAGGAATGAAACTTTAGAGAGCCTCCATAATCTACTATGGTAGAAGATTTAGTGTACAGACTTTCACAAAATGTATTCAAAAATTATAGTATTTGAAACACAAGGTGATCCTAATGATGGCCATGGGGTTTTAATGGAGTATACTAAAGATTATGCCCAATGGCTGTGCTCCATCCTCACTTCCATTCCTACTCTCACCTTACACAAGTAGTGGTCAATCTCCTTCCATTTTTAAATTCAGTAATGTTAAAGCATTCAGAATTTCTATATTTTTTGAAGGAATCTAACAATGTGTTTTTTAAGATTGATGAGGCAGCACTGAGCATGAAATACTAAAACTGCTTTGCTACTGACAGTGTCTTAGGTGATGACTTAAAGTGACAGTATAGAGGAGGCCTCCTGCTCTTGTGCTTTTCCAGACATCTTGTCCACTGCCAGCCTCACATTTACTCCTTCCTCCTTGTTTGGCATCTTGGTGATATGAGTCCAACTGCTCAGCCCTTCTGCAGGATTTTCTTCCTCTTTAGATTGAGGGGATCAGCTTTCCCATCAAGCTTGATGTGATGGAAATATATAATTTTACTCATGAAAAAAAAAAAAGACTACATCAAGCAAGACAACTCCAATTGCTTGCTTTCCCTTCTTACTGTCTTAAAGTGAGCTTTCTTTCCTCCTTTCTCAATGCTTTAGGGCTTGGTTTCTTGGTGAGACTTTGTAAATGGAAAATCTTCAAGCCAACAGATAAGAACTGACATTTCATCCCTGCTACACCTTTTCATTTATTGCTTCTATTTTCAGGAACCTCAAGAAGAACCAAATTCTTTGGTACTTTTCCGGGAAACTATGTCAAGAGGCTGTGAATCACCTTCTTCCTTATTTACGCCGCATTTCAGCAACACATCTACATAAACTTGCCTAAAACATCCCAGCAGGCCTGTTGTTGTCATGCCTTATGGTTTCCAATACGCCATCACCATCTCCACCTGCTGCCACCAAATCACCAGCAGATGGCCTGCTGCCGTGAGCCTTAGGGAGACATGGCAGACTTGCATCCACATAAATGTTCAGTTTTCTGCTTTCTACCCTAAACTTTGAAACATCTACATGTGGGATCAAAATGAAAATCATCATACATTAAAAGAGTGAAATAGTTGAAGGAGGGAGGGAAGGAAAGAAGGAAGGAAGGAAGGAAGGAAGGAAGGAAGGAAGAAAGAAAGAAAGAAAGAAAGAAAGAAAGAAAGAAAG